TGCAAACCACGCCCCGTAAAACTCTGAAATGTTTTGTAGAGCTGCCATTTTATTATCCTCGCATTAGCATTATTAGCATTAGCATTCACCCAGCACACAAACGCAGAGAGAATAACTTATGGCAACACAACAGAAAACATGGGAGCAGTGGAGATGAGGAGGTGTCGGTGTTCACGCGATTTACTCGGAAGGCTTCAGTAGAAGCTGCTGGGAGTCCCAGCAGCTTCTACTGAAGCCAGTCCCTAACTCCGGGGACTTCCGGCCGGGGACTTCGGGTGGCAGTATACGCCGTGACGTTGTTTGCGGCCTGCCAGTAAACCCAAAGCAGAAGAAGAAGAAGTGACGTCAGCGGATTCCTCAGGGACTGAACGCGATTTACTAGATAGTTACAGGAAATAAAAGTTCCGGGAACTATTCCTGGGAAAAGTACTCCGGTGTGAAAGCTCCTAATGTGTTATTTTTAACCAAATCTCTCTCAGAGGGGCGTGGTGAGTGGCTCCTTATTTTCATCTAAAGTAACAGACAGAGAATCAGCACTTTTGAAACAGGACATCTCAAGAGGCTGGACACCACCTCTTCTGACATTTCTGACATGAAAGACATTTTGTCAGTATTAAAGTAGAATGTCTTGCCTGCATGACGCCGGCCTGCTCCTCCTCAGCTTGTGTTGTGAGGATGTGGATGTGGATCTGCTGCTGCAGCTGGCTCTGGGTGAGGGGGGGGAAGCAGCCGTGCAGCCGGCGGCCCTGCAGCAGCAGAGAGGTTCGCTTCTGCAGCTGCAGCCAGCGAGAGGACGCTTCTCTGTGCAACCTCCAGGAGCAGCACTCTTCACCGCTGGTATCCTCCCCTGAGAACCACAACACAGGGAGACATGTTTAGAATCACATGCATGCATGCAGCAACAGGAACTAGAGACGATGGGTGGGGTTAAGTCACTTTTTTATATGAATACTGCAGCTTGGGTCAAATGAAGTGAAATCCAAACAGTCAAATAAAAAAAACTAGAAGAAACTTCACTGCTACTACCTGTGATAAGATGCTCAATACATGTGAGGTCAGAGGGTGAATCCTGAGAGACATCAGAAGTGTTGCTGATCTCCAGGAAGAGTCCACAAGAATCACACATCTACCACAGAAGAAGAAGCAGAAGAAGAAGAATTGCAACAGAACTGTTTGAATGAACATATGTCCGTTTGATAGGAAATGGTGTCTAAAAACATCATTAAGATGCAGTGTAGCTGACTGAACATGGCCCTTAATAAAGACAGATCTCCTCCTGCAGATGAAACTTGGACCAAGGCTTTACATGTGTGCAAAAACCTGTATAACACACTACAGGAAAGACAATAGCCGCTTTCACACCAAGTACTTTGCCGTACTTAGTTCCCAGCACTTAGTTCCCCCATGGAACGTTCAGAGTTTTACGGAGCATGGTTTGCAATTCGCCCAGCCAATCAGAAATTGGAACTTTTTTCTCCCCAGGAAAGTACCTGCTCTCTAGCAGGGACTAAAAAGGGGGGGAAAGTTCTCATGAACTAAGTTCTCTTTTTGGTGTGAAAGCAAAATCCCAGGAACTATCGGAACTAAAAGGGAAAAGTACGGGGAAAAGTAATCCGGTGTGAAAGCGCCTAATATCTCCAAAAACAGAAAAGGGACTCTTTAATGGAAAAAAGTCAAAATTCTAAGAGAAAGTCTGATTCCTGAAAAAAGTCAAAATTCTAAGAAAAATTCAAAATTGATATAAGATTGAAATCCCTTTTATAGAGGACATACAGAGTGGTTCTTTGGTGCGGCTGCACTGGATGGATAACGCAGTTGCATTTCTAACAACACAAACTGTGATTTACCTGTATTACAGAGTCTTGTACAGTCAGTATGGCTCCGCTCACAGCTTCCTGCAGCAGATGTGTGGGGGGGTCCACCGTCAGCTGATCATCCCTGAGACTCAGCTCAGTGTGGAACAAACAGCCCTCACGTCCACCTCTCTAACACACAGAAACACACAAACAGCATTTCATTTATTACATGTTCATTCAATTCATCGTGTGCTGTTGTTTGGCAGGCGGTACCGCAGCATCAGGACTACAACCACCAGACTCAGGGACACTTTCATACCACAGGAAATAAGACTGTTAAACACCTGAACTTTTGAAAGAACATCCATAAACATTCATCTGTTCAAATGATGTATCTAATATATCATATTCCATTTACTTGTATGCACTCTTCTTGCACTATTTCTATTTTATTGATATTGCCTTGCACTAGTTGATCTGTTTTATTTGTCCTATATATAGTGTATGTTGCACTGTGGACATATACACTACTGAACAAATGACAATAAAGCCTTGAATTGAATTGAAATATTTAGTCTTTCTGATGCTTTCTTCATGATCCCATAGTAATAAAACGTGTTGGATCCATATCATTTGCTGGTGAAAGCTGAAAAGTGACCAAGTTATTCATTTGTAATTGAGTAAGAGCGGTTAATGCAGCCCCCCTCTCACCTTCAGGACCCGGCTGGTGAACTGAGTGAGGTCCTGAGTGATGAGAGAGACGATGCTCTGCACGGTGATGGTGTTGATGAGAGCAGAGAAGCTGCCCAGCCTCTGCAGGACGCTCTCAGACCTGCTGAGCTGTGAGAGAAGCTGCTGCTGGTGGAGCAGCTGGCGGTGCAGCGGCTCAACGCTTCTGCTCGGCTTCAGACTGAACTCCAGGTGCAGCTGAAGCTCCTGCTGAGTCCTGTAGCTGTGCTCCCTCACCTGCAGGAAGAAACCAGTTAGATTAGATCCTCCCTCACCTGGGAGGGAGGATCCTACGGCGCTGGTTCTGTTTTTACCGGGGTAGATCTCCATGGTAACTGATGCTGAACGGCTAACCTGCTCCGGAGCTAAGAGCTCAACTCTGTGAAAGCACTGCCTGCTGACCAATCAGAGCTCAGTGTGCGGAGTTTAAAGCGATCAAGTCATATTACAGAAAAACTGCCGTTTCAGGAAAGACGGCCGGCAAAAATCAGCGACTGTGTGAATGTGAACATTAATAGAATATCACCTCCCATCTTCAGAGCAATCTGACTATTATAACATTAGCGTTAAGAAAGCTTACTTAAATATCTGCCATATCTTGATAAGTAACCGGATCAGAGTAACATTAAGTACAGTCCGCGGCATATCACATCATAATGTATCATATATTTCCTTATCTGAGTCAGCTGGGCTCAGCTGACTCAGATAAGGAAATATATGATACATTATGATGTGATATGCCGCGGACTGTACTTAATGTTACTCTGATCCGGTTACTTATCAAGATATGGCANAGGTGGTCATTTCCTTTATCCGGGATGTTGAATTACACACACAATATAATCGACATGTTAAATGTGTTCATACCACATATCAAAGGTATGGGAGGACACAAATGATCGCTGAATAGTTCAGAACCTTTGCCGTATTTTGTGCTAATTTGCACTATCATATATTTTCTGGTACGAGCATAGATCGATTGATATCCCTTTACTTCTCGTGGCCGCAGTCAAATCGCATTAAGATACGGAGGACGAATGGCTAAGTAATACTCTTTTTGTACAAATATTGTATTGTGTGTATAAGCTCCCCCAAAAATTTATTGTAGCTGCATAAATAATAAAGAGGTTCACAATACAAAAAGACACGTGACTTCTCAGGCGTTTGTCGCAAAAAATTTAGTAAAATTCTACCAAAATTAGTTACAACTTTTACTTAAGAAGTATATACTATTTACTCTAATTCGCAAATAAACAATAATAAGGTGTATAAAGAGAGGTAAGAAGAAGACGGTTGCACAGCGTCAAAGAGCCAGAGATGGCAAAAAACGAATCAGCGCTGCGTACCCAACCTCAAACGCACCTCCTGGCGGTGAAAAAGGGCAGTTCAATCATAAAATATTTAGCGTTGTAACGCATCTTGACCGCAAAAAAACTCGCATCATAGGGCAAATATTTACTCCGGGGTGCCAATGGAATTCTACGTCAGACACACGGACCGAGACTCTTTGGTTGAGACAGAAATGTGTTCAAATTAAAATACCACACACACACACACACACACACACACACCCACCACACACACACACAACACACACAACCACACACACACACCACACCACACACACACACACAACACACACACACCACACACACACACACGAACACACACACACACACACACACACACACACACACACACCACACCGACACAACCACATAAACGCCACAAAAATCTGCTCTGCTCTATTCGACTTACGTCGTGAGTCGTACGTCACCCCTAGGTAGAATCGACCCGAGTCACCTTTGGATTGAGTGACAGGAGTAAAGTAGAGTGAGGTGATGTAATGAAGGAAATATAGACCGTTTAGTCTCTAGTACGTTATACGGGGCGGAAAACAGCCATATAAAATAAAAAGGATTGTATATTTTTTAGGATGGTGGTATTAGAGTAGTACAGAGGGTTAGATACTAGTATCCTTGCGAAGCGACAGGTATACATATAGTACAGGATAATCGGAAAAACTGATACAAAAGTCGTAATAAGAATAGTTATACAGAAAGTGAGACGAAGATAAGCATAGACTTACAATTTCAGTTTCAATTCTTACGACGATGAATTTGTATTAAGGAAAGACAGATGTAATAATATACTTACGAGTTGAAGTAACTTGACTGATCATACAGATGGACAAGAGGGTAAGAGTGAACTGGGGTCAGTTTAACCTGAATTACTTCAAGGTAAGGGGAATGGTTTATATGCTACTCTGGGGTAGGCCCCGTGGTTCGCAAGGTGTGTTGTCTTTTAGGTACTCGACACAAATATTCGTATGACCAGGGAATAAACATTCTTGTACAATACAACACGGATTTGGTGGATAACGTCAGGATCTCTTTCCGGAAGTAAACACGTCGTCCTACGTTCTTGGGGCGGGGAGCCCACCGCTTCCCCTTTTCTGCGGGCGACGGACAACCGGGGGGGGTTGAGATGCACAGGCTGCAGTGGAGACGCTGCGCACAGCTGATCGACAGCTGGGACACGGAGGACCACCAAATACAAAAACATAATTCAGATCCAGTCGTCATGACTCCACTCCGGAGGGATTCCCCGATCATTTCTTACAGTTTCTCATCAAGGGGGGGTCTCCTGTTCCCGGTACAAACACACTGCCTGAGGAAGGCTGTGTGTATTTCTTTTGTCATTCACTTTTTTCGGACCACTTATTTATTTATTTTGGTGACGATCCGACCTCTAAATTGCTACTCTGGTTCAAACTGCATCCACCAAACATTATGTTTTATCTCGACCTCCCCAAAATAACAAAAATCTGACACGGTGTGAGATGTCTTTTTTAGCTGTTCTGTCGTCATTTCCTGCGATCTTCTTCATAAAGTCAGCCAAAATGAATGAATGAATGGGCGTTTCTTTGACTATTTATAAGCAAATATGGGCGTTACGTGAAGCCCGCAAAAGCTGCACCGCATTTCGAGTCGATTGTGATTTATAAAGGGAAACCGGCATAGGAAGTGTCGTACGCAATTTCCTCGCCGGTACGCAATGTTTGGTGAATCGGAAAATGTCGGAACATTTCTGTACCTATTTTTTGGATTTCTACTACGTAAGCAATCTTCCCACGTGAATCATACGCACGGCGTTATAAATGAGGCCCCTGCTCTCTTTTCTTATCTTTTCTCACACTGACTTTCTACTTGCCCACCAAGACACACACTGAGCAGAAAAAGGCAACACATTGATGCACAATCTCCCTCTTCTTCCTCTTCTAGCCTACCTTGTTTCCCCTTTTTGCCCAGACAATTGGACAAGGCCTCTTTGCCTCAAGTGGCACTTGCTGTGCTGTAATGTGAAAAATAGAAAGACATAGCAAAGAGGTTTTGACTGGTATGGCATTCATGCAGCGAATGGGCAGGGGCAAGGATATAGGAGAGGAAAATAGAGAAGGGATATGGTTGTGAATGGGGTGGAAGGGGGAAGGGAGGAAGAGGGAATTAAAAAAGAGTGGACAACTTTAGGGAAGGAGGAAAAGAGGATGATGAGGAGGGAGAGATTTGGAGAAGAGGGAACATAACGAAGAAAGGATGAACACAACATTGGAAATGGAAAATAGTTAAAATAGTTATAAAGGGATGTGTTGCAACTGGTGAAGGTGTAACAAAAGTAAGTTTATGGTAAAATAGTGGAAAGCTGAGGGAGAACTGAATGAGGGGAATGAGAGAGTATTGGGAGGTTGTAAAGCTCTACCTGCTTGTTATCTAGAGGCACTGTGAGCATGGTGGATGTGTGCGTGTGATCTGCTGAATCGTGCTCCTTTCTCCTGCTGCACTGATGCTCCTCTGGAGACCCCCAAAAGAGAGGAAACGTGGAAACCATCTCCTCCTTTGACTGCAGTATGGATCTCTCCTACAACCTCTGTAACTCTTGCATCATCCCTTTTAAACCCTGCCAGTCTGCTTTCTCTCACCGCCACTCATTTCACTTTTAGAGTTTTTAAACAATGATTACAAATAAGTACTTGTTTTATTATTATCTCTGGATGTTTGTTATATAAATCATTTTTTTTTCAACTATGTGAAAACATGCACACATTACATTGTTTGCATCTAGGTGTAAAAATGTGTCCCTGTTGTTCCACCGCAATACGTTTGTGCAAGGCAGATATTTTTCTAAAACTATATTATCCATGCTTTGTATTTTTCCTAGGCAAAATACAAAAGCTGTAGCAAATGACAAGACACCATAATTGATTATCAAAGAAGACCTGATAACATTTTGTAATCCTTTTTTAATATTAGCCATATGCCAAGCTGTCACATTTCAGTGCCTCTGAATATATTTTGTGGGGAGACAGTGGCTGCTTGCCATGAGATGATACGAAACTAAATGAGAATAGCAGACACCTATGCATTTAATTGAAACACATCTGAAGACCTATTTGCATATGCCTTTTTAATAAGCTTAAGCTATCATTACCAAATATACAGTATGTTCATAATGACGTTTTTGACATCATGGGAGAACTCGGCCCGTTACAAATAAATGGCTGATAAACTGTATGTGCAGATGTTGCTGAAGGAATAATTGTATTGGTGTACAGTATACATATAAGTAACATAACATTTTAGTTCCACAGTTTGAATTTGTCAAACAGGAATCAGTGATTACCTCCACTCAGCACATAATACATCCTATTAAATACTATTTTTAACAAATCTCTAACATCATTAATATTGGCCTCAAAAATATGGTTCCGGCCAGGCAAACACAAGTAAGTCATCATTCACCCTATAATACATCATTCCCTACATCCCTCTTTTCTCTCCTTTTTAAATAGGTACCAGCTGCAGTTATCATACGCTGCCCACTGGCTTGTCTCCCTGTGTTCACAGTTTCACTCATGTAATGAATCACTGCTATGTAGGAGGAGGGGGTAAAGAGAGAGAGAGAGAGAGAGAGAGAGAGAGAGAGAGAGAGAGAGAAGGTCTGACAGTGAGATAGAAAGGCACATGAATTCAGGATGCTGGGTCTTGCCCACAGTCTGGCATTAGCACACACACCTTTTTCAGAAACAAATGAGCTGGAAATGTGCAGACTGTGTACCGTTTACACCTGAAATCAGTGTCACCAGTAGTTCTCCAGCGAACACTTGAGATTGGATATAGCTTCACATTCTGCCTAGGTAAAACTGCTGACATAGTTTACTGGACACATCTTGTTATTTTTAAATCCAGGCGTGTTTAATTGGCAGCATATACAGGAATAAGAGAATGCTTGATTTATATAAAAAATTGATCACTAGAACACTTTCAGATTTG